GTATCGTAGCGTAAAGGACAGTTCAGTACAAATACAGGTTCTTGTTACTGATGAAAAACACCACCGAAGAAGTATCGTAGCGTAAAGGACAGTTCAGTACAAATACAGGTTCTTTTTACTGATGAAAAAACACCACCGAAGAAGGAGCGTAGCGTAAAGGACAGTTCAGTACAAATACAGGTTCTTGTTACTGATGAAAAAACACCACCGAAGAAGTATCGTAGCGTAAAGGACAGTTCAGTACAAATACAGGTTCTTGTTACTGATGAAAAAACACCACCGAAGAAGTAGCGTAGCGTAAAGGACAGTTCAGTACAAATACAGGTTCTTGTTACTGATGAAAAAACACCACCGAAGAAGTAGCGTAGCGTAAAGGACAGTTCAGTACGAATACAGGTTCTTGTTACTGATGAAAAACACCACCGAAGAAGTATCCTAGCGTAAAGCACAGTTCAGTACAAATACAGGTTCTTGTTACTGATGAAAAAACACCACCGAAGAAGTAGCGTAGCGTAAAGGACAGTTCAGTACAAATACAGGTTCTTGTTACTGATGAAAAAACACCACCGAAGAAGTAGCGTAGCGTAAAGGACAGTTCAGTACAAATACAGGTTCTTGTTACTGATGAAAAAACACCACCGAAGAAGTATCGTATCGTAAAGGACAGTTCAGTACAAACACAGGTTCTTGTTACTGATGAAAAACACCACCGAAGAAGTAACGTAGCGTAAAGAACAGTTCAGTACAAATACAGGTTCTTGTTACTGATGAAAAAACACCACCGAAGAAGTATCGTAGCGTAAAGGACAGTTCAGTACAAATACAGGTTCTTGTTACTGATGAAAAACACCACCGAAGAAGTATCGTAGCGTAAAGGACAGTTCAGTACAAATACAGGTTCTTGTTACTGATGAAAAAACACTACCGAAGAAGTATCGTAGCGTAAAGCACAGTTCAGTACAAATACAGGTTCTTGTTACTGATGAAAAAACACCACCGAAGAAGTATCGTAGCGTAAAGCACAGTTCAGTATAAATACAGGTTCTTGTTACTGATGAAAAAACACCACCGAAGAAGTAGCGTAGCGTAAAGGACAGTTCAGTACAAATACAGGTTCTTGTTACTGATGAAAAAACACCACCGAAGAAGTATCGTAGCGTAAAGGACAGTTCAGTACAAATACAGGTTCTTGTTACTGATGAAAAAACACCATCGAAGAAGTAGCGTAGCGTAAAGGACAGTTCAGTACAAATACAGGTTCTTGTTACTGATGAAAAAACACCACCGAAGAAGTAGCGTAGCGTAAAGGACAGTTCAGTACAAATACAGGCTCTTGTTACTGATGAAAAAACACCACCGAAGAAGTAGCCTAGCGTAAAGGACAGTTCAGTACAAATACAGGTTCTTGTTCCTGATAAAAAAACACCACCGAAGAAGTAGCGTAGCGTAAAGGACAGTTCAGTACAAATACAGGTTCTTGTTACTGATGAAAAAACACCACCGAAGAAGTATCGTAGCGTAAAGGACAGTTCAGTACAAATACAGTTTCTTGTTACTGATGAAAAACACCACCGAAGAAGTATCGTAGCGTAAAGCACAGTTCAGTACAAATACAGGTTCTTGTTACTGATGAAAAAACACCACCGAAGAAGTAGCGTAGCGTAAAAGACAGTTCAGTACAAATACAGGTTCTTGTTACTGATGAAAAAACACCACCGAAGAAGTAGCGTAGCATAAAGGATAGTTCAGTACAAATACAGGTTCTTGTTACTGATGAAAAAACACCACCGAAGAATTATCGTAGCGTAAAGGACAGTTCAGTACAAATACAGGTTCTTGTTACTGATGAAAAACACCACCGAAGAAGTATCGTAGCGTAAAGCACAGTTCAGTATAAATACAGGTTCTTGTTACTGATGAAAAAACACCACCGAAGAAGTAGCGTAGCGTAAAGGACAGTTCAGTACAAATACAGGTTCTTGTTACTGATGAAAAAACACCACCGAAGAAGTAGCGTAGCGTAAAGGACAGTTCAGTACAAATACAGGTTCTTGTTACTGATGAAAAAACACCGCCGAAGAATTAGCGTAGCGTAAAGGACAGTTCAGTACAAATACAGGTTCTTGTTACTGATGAAAAAACACCACCGAAGAAGTATCGTAGCGTAAAGGACAGTTCAGTACAAATACAGGTTCTTGTTACTGATGAAAAACACCACCGAAGAATTATCGTAGCGTAAAGGACAGTTCAGTACAAATACAGGTTCTTGTTACTGATGAAAAACACCACCGAAGAAGTATCGTAGCGTAAAGCACAGTTCAGTATAAATACAGGTTCTTGTTACTGATGAAAAAACACCACCGAAGAAGTAGCGTAGCGTAAAGGACAGTTCAGTACAAATACAGGTTCTTGTTACTGATGAAAAAACACCACCGAAGAAGTATCGTAGCGTAAAGGACAGTTCAGTACAAATACAGGTTCTTGTTACTGATGAAAAAACACCACCGAAGAATTATCGTAGCGTAAAGGACAGTTCAGTACAAATACAGGTTCTTGTTACTGATGAAAAACACCACCGAAGAAGTATCGTAGCGTAAAGCACAGTTCAGTATAAATACAGGTTCTTGTTACTGATGAAAAAACACCACCGAAGAAGTAGCGTAGCGTAAAGGACAGTTCAGTACAAATACAGGTTCTTGTTACTGATGAAAAAACACCACCGAAGAAGTAGCGTAGCGTAAAGGACAGTTCAGTACAAATACAGGTTCTTGTTACTGATGAAAAAACACCGCCGAAGAATTAGCGTAGCGTAAAGGACAGTTCAGTACAAATACAGGTTCTTGTTACTGATGAAAAAACACCACCGAAGAAGTATCGTAGCGTAAAGCACAGTTCAGTACAAATACAGGTTCTTGTTACTGATGAAAAACACCACCGAAGAAGTATCGTAGCGTAAAGGACAGTTCAATACAAATACAGGTTCTTGTTACTGATGAAAAAACACCACCGAAGAAGTGCCGTACCGTAAACGACAATATCGGACGCTTCAACGCCGAACTTTTTTCCTTGTTGTCCCGAGCAACGCTGAGGAGGCATATATAGGATCCAAACCATATGGATGTGCACATTGTCACGCAGAAAAAGAAAATTGTAGAAAAAAATGTAATAAAAGGCTTCAAATAATTAAGTTTTGCCAACGTCTGAAGTATGTCAGTCTTTCCTCAAGAAAGCACTGGATAATCAAGGATGAATGCATTGTGGTTGTGGAACAGAAGACAAACATAACTTTTGGCACAAAAAAAATAGAACAGTACAACTCAATTGTCAAAAATATCCAAAGAAAAAGATGCCCTCGATAACTTGACGGCCAATTTCATAATTGAGTACTAGAGGTTATGAACATTGCTGTTGACTTAAACACGAACATCCAACTTCCTGTGATGTATGACGACCTTTCTAGTGTACTTCAACAAATGAACCCCAATTAGGTACATGTATGCCTGTTAATCAAGCATTGTACGGGTCCGTCCTTACAGATGGAAATCAAGGATGTCGTCAAAATGCGAGCGGTTAGATCTAATGGAAAGACCTGATGCTTAACTGCTTTTTTATTCCTGTATCGTGATTTTTTGTTTTTTTTGTAAGGTTTCACAACTCTGATCGCCCCTTAACTTTGAGCATCACTGGAACTTCACTTGCCAGATAAAAAAAAACTGGGGTACTTTTCTGCATTTTGGTATTCGGACCAATTAATTTGTTTCATTTCAATTTGGAAAAAATTCTCAGCAGGAACGATATGCGACGCCCTGCAGTTGAATAGAACTATAAAGCGTATTGGTTATTATCCAAAAATTTATCAAAGCCCTTATTTTCAAACTCCCATTAACTTCAAATAAAATTGCACCTTAATCCATATCGATTAGTTTTTGGAAAAAAAACATCGAAAAACAATCAATTTTGGACAATATTAAAGATCAAGTGTGAAAATTCAAGTTAGGAATACTAATACAACCGATTAGCTTAGCTAGCCTGATTTCAACTTGGAACGATTTTGTTGTACAGATATTTCGTCACGCATAAATCGTTCGCGTTACGCTTTCAGCATTATGAATGAACTCTTCAAAGCGCGCATAATTTAGTCCAGAGCATGGCCAAATTGGCAATTTTCAAACTCCCAGAGTTTTGCAAAAAACGATTGCAGATAAAATATCTTTTTCTATTTGATTTCAAGGAGTCGATATCTTTAATGGGGTAAAAAATTATTTGTTAAAAACTATTATTTCGATCGCCGAAAATCGACTAAATAAAAAACCACCCCATGCATAAATATTCCGTTTTCTTCGAAAATCGGAACATTAAAACTTGGAAATTGAAACATCTCTTTAACTTTGACCTTATGGCATCAATGTATGCTTTGAAAACATCCATCAACAAGCTGTTGTGAAGAGTCATAAATTCTCTGACGAAAAAAAAAACACCAAGAGCTTAGGTACCACATATTTTTTTGGAAAGTTGGAAGAGTTTAACGAAGAAATTGCTCTGATAAAAACTTTAGATCAAAAAAGTTGGTAAATAACCCAGCAAAAGAGATTGGGCTACAAGAAATTAAAAGAAAAATTAAAAACTTCCTTCCTAATATTTTCCCTTTGCTTAACTAAAAGTCTTCAGAAGGCTGAGAAATTTTTCACCTCTTTCAATTTAAATTATCGTTGTGATCAAGTGCGGATTTAGGGGGGGGGGGGGGGAGGGGGGACGGACGCTTCTCCCTCGGGGATTCGACCCCCTGCCTATAGTGCTTTAGGAGAGCTCGGAAAATCAATTTGGTTGACCTAAAAAAAAGGTCGTCAAAAATTTTCGAACATTTTTTGAAAATCCGCCCCCTCGAGAAAATCCTAGATCCGCCCCTGGTTGCGATTATGTAGTTTTCGAGAAAAAATATCAAAATGGGATATTACAAAACGCAGTTGAAATTAACAACATAAAGTTCAGTTAATACTCACAACGTCAAACTTCCAAAAGAGTCTTAAGCAATTTAAGAAAGAAGTAAATTTTGAAATGGAAAACGATTTAGATGACTAACGGTTTAAAAGAGGTAAGTTTAAGTAAAAACGTGGTAAACGCATTCAATGAGCGAGTGGGTTATATATGCGCGGAACAAAAAGGTTTTTATTCATTCACATTCTTGTTTCTTGTGTCTAAGGAAAAGGCAAAAATAACAAAAAAGACAAGAAAGGAAGTTGCAACGGTTTTGCCTATGGTGTGTACAATGAACGAAATTCTAGAGTACGTAAAGAATTTTTGCTAAAAGGCAAATGTATACGCTATACTCTACTTACTTGTAGAGAACGGAAATGTTACTCGGAGCGTTTTTTTTTGTTTTTCAGTCGAATTATGGTTGTAGTTTTGCCGAGTGATTCTTGACAATTTAGTGCGAAAAGTGCGTCAATTAAGAGGAGACAATCACTGAATGTGCTGATTATAGGGAGAGTTGAATGATCTCTATAATACAATGATGATTTAAATCATCTGAACAAAAAGAGCCCAAACTTGGAAATTCAAACGCAGTGATCTGAAACTCGCTAACAAAAATTCGCTGAAGTAATTTCATAACCCAAAAAAACGGAAGACGGGCCTCTCGCACTGAAATTTCAGAAATGATAAACGATTATATTGGATTTTTACTGTCAGTCTCTATAAAATAACAAAAATACCCGATAATAATCAATGAAAAATGGATTATAATGATACTATTTTCAAGCAATAAAATCCAAATATAATCGATTATAATCGATAATTTTCAACTTATTTTCAAAAAATTTTATCTAAAGAAAAATAATCAATTTAACCGATTTTAAAGCATTATAATCCATTTGTTAAAATCTTTCGGTGTAATGTTTTCATTTTTTCATAATAACCCGCTCTCAGTATAAAGAGAAAATTTTTCCGAAAATCTCTTTAAATCTCGTATAATCTCTTATAATTCTTATAATCTCTTAAAATCTACTATAATAGATTATAATCCTTTTTTCTGTCAAAACCTCTAAAAGTGAGATGTCATGTCCCTTTTTGGTTCACCTGAACATAAAGTTTTACCACCAAACAAAAGTTTTATAGAGATCCCTTCATATTAGTTGAAAGAATCCCGTGGTAGTTGAAAGAATCACTCTTCTATATAAATCATGAAACTAAAGCAGGATGCTGATATTTTGGTGTTCAAAAATTTTTTAAACGTGCATAATGAAACAATTATAATCAAGAAGAAATAAAAAAACGTTATAAATTTGAATTGATTTGAAAACTGTTAAAACAATTTATTCATTTTTCAGATAAACCAACGTCTACGAAAAGCATAAAATATAAGCAATTCAGGTGGAAGGTCGAAGACAAAATGGGCAAACAAAAGGATTTACAAGCAATTATAATAGATTATAAAAGATTTTTTCTGCGAAACAATAGAAATAGAAATTCGGATAAAAATAACCGATTATTATCGATTATAATGTACTATAATTGATTATATTTGTTTTCAAGAAGAGATATTACAATCGATTTTTAATTGATTAAAATCAATTTTTTCTAAAATTTTGCAAGACTGGTAATAAAATCATATTATAATCAATTTTCAATGCTGGAAACTGGATGCGGCAATGTTAAAGTAAGTTAGTTATTTTTTTCTCTCGCTAAGTTTCAACTTTTTTAATCGCGTTTTTGAAAATTTATATAAAATCACGTATTTTTGATATTATTTTAATTGAGTTTTATTCGCGCGTTCAAACCAGCGTTTAAACCCAAACCATCCCTCCACATGCGTTTACCACACCGACTAAACGGGGGAGGGGCGTACGGGGAGGACGTGTGGGGACTTTCAAAAAAATTCCAAAACTTAGTCGATTTTTTTCAGGTCGGCCAAGTTGACTTTCCGCGCACTCCCACAACACTAAAAAGAACGCATTTCGACCAAATTTTTATCAAACTTAACCATGATGTGGACTAATTTATCCGCGCTTTGAAGTATTTATTCATGATGCTGAAAACAAAAACGCGAGTTAATTATGCGTGGTGAATTATCCCGCACAACAAAATTGTTCCAAATTGAATTGAGGCCAGCTAATTAGTAGTGTAAATTTATTCGACTATTATATTCATGCATGGTTTTCGATAATGTTCATTGTTAAGAATTTGCCACTGTTTTCTTTTAGTAAGACTATTTAAAGGGCAATCGGAACGTTCTAGGCGTTGCCCTTATATGCGAGCAGTGTTGTTCACCTTGTGAATCACCTGAACACAAAATGTTTCCAGGAAACAAAAAATTCTTGAGGGTCTCGTCAAATGAACAAACTTTAATGAAAAATAAAAACACAATTTGCATCTTTAAAAGAATACAAACGAGAAAAAGTAATAAAAACAACTGTTTTTTGAGTTGATATAAAAACTTTCTGCCATAAAAAATCTTAATATCAGACTAGCAACGATGATCAAAAGCACAAATTACTATAAGCAAGTCAAAGTAAAAAAAATGAAGTAACAGATTTTATTTGATTGAATTCTATTATTGTTCCGACTTTCGTAACGAAAGAAACGGAATAATTGTGCTCGGGGTGGTTTTTTCTGCAGAAAAATGTTGACTTTGTCAATCATTCAAAATTTATTGTTGTCGTGAGATTCAAAGTTATTGTTGTCGTTTCTTTATTAAATTTAACTTTTTCATGTTATTACTGCTCCACAGACCTTAAGAGGCAGCTGGAACATTCAGGGCTTTGCCCTGATACGAGCAGTTTTGTATTCACTTGAAATGAAGTATATAACTAACCAAAAGCATGTGAAAGGTTAAGAAATTTTTTCTATGTTCTATCATTGTATAGAAAAACAGGCGGGATAAAAATCAACTAAACTTTTTTTATAATTGATAACAATTTGTAAACAAGGAAAACCGGTTACTGTGCAAGTAGCACAGAATCTTCTAGCCATAGATTTAAAAATACAAAAAAAAACATCAATTTTTGTCTAGAGTTTTATAGAACTAGGCATACTCTGCAGTCATAACAAAATAGGCAAACTGGAAAACAGTGTTTGAGGAAATGAATAAAAAACGAGAAAATTGTAACAACATTTTTTTTTCAAACTCTTTTGCATAAATTTTGATCCAAAAAACGGCGCAAACACTTCCAAAAACTAACTTTTCTCGAGCAAAACTAGCACCAAAAATCATCTGTCGAGCTAAATTTGACCAAAAAAACAAAGTTTAAAACAGGTTTTTCTCGGCACTGAGAAAATTTTTTTTTCAATTATATTAAGGTTGCTCGGACCACGACTGAAAGGTCTTTAATATGATATATCACTCAGCACTTTTCGATGATTATTTGCGGTAACTGATTTTACGTGGAAAAAAAAAGAAAAAAAACTAAAACGTCCGAATGCAAAGTTCCTCTCCATTTTTCAAACGGTCGGAACAAAAAAAGAGAAACAAGGTTAAATTTCAAAAAACTATAAAAAATTTTTTTCTCAATTTGGTTTTCTTTCAAATTTCTCTCAATTGAAAAAATGATTCTCAATTCCTAAAATTATTGACTAACAATGCTTCAAACTGAACCGGAAGTTTGATTTCCAACACAAATTTCAAATGTTAAAAACTGTTTTTCTTTAGCAAAAAATAGTTTTTTTATCATGAATAACACTTATCATGAATATCATGAATTTGGCTTTAAAAAACAATTGTTCCAAACAAAGGGGTGGCATTAATAAACGGGAGAAGAGTACTAAACAAAACAAACTGTTTTTTCAAACTGTTTTCCTGCAATTGACGCTGTAATCTCTACTAACTGTAAGGGCCATCGTGGTCGAAAAAAGGTAGCAGCGTAGAAATTTTTTGCAGAATGGAGCCTCTTTGGTGTCATGAGATCTCAGATTTTGAATTTGCGCGACATAAGAAACCATTACAAATAAAATTGGAAATGGACAGAAATTATTATAAGTTGTTGTCGGAAAACTGAAAAATTACCTTCAGGTTTGAAGATTTGTTTAATTTCTCTTCCCTTGCGCACCCCTTTTTGCTCATAAGCATTCGTAACCAAGCACATAAAGTAGATGATGAATGAAAAACATCCGTTTTTTTATCAATTGGAAAAATGATCGAACAGATGCAAATACAACAGTTTACACTAAAAAATAAAACCTTGTTAAAAGACTTTTAAAAACGCCGAAAAGGGTTATCACAAAAACAGTTTTTCAGAAAAAGATAAAAACAAAGAAACAATGGAATTTTATTAAATCATAATAACAAGGAAAACATAATAACCAAGCAAACATAAATTTTTCACTTTCTTCTTCATGCGAACAACTAACTAATCAAAATGATAAAGCAAATGCGTTAAATTGCAGAACTTGGTAAATGAAAAGCAAAATTTTTTCAAGGTCAGGGTTAAAATTATTCCAGTATTTGAAAAATCGAAGTCAGGCCAGTCATCAGAAGAGAACTATTTCTGTCAATTGATAGTTTACGAAATATTAAAGCAACTAGTCCTACTTACATAACATAATGGAGCAGTAAGTGATCAAAATTTGCAACGAGTAAGCACCTACAGATTGTAATATTTGAATGCATAGAGTTGAGAACTTTTCCGGAAGAGCTCAAGAAAGCGTATATTAGAGCAATTTATAAAGGAAGGAAAACGATTAGGTAGCGGAAAATTATCGGCCGAATTCTGTGACGCTACACTTTATGAATGAACTTTTTTAACACAAATAAAAATATATATAAAGTGGAAAGAGGCTTTCAAATAATATGCAATTCGGTTTTCAGAAATCCAAATCTTAGATCGAAGTTGTACTTTTTTTAATGGAATACGAGATTTTAATGATCACAGTGAAGATATGTCTGCAGTTGTTTTTTTTTATCTTGCAACAATCGGCAATAGAGAGCAAAGTTGACAAACACAACATCCGAATGGGAAGTTTTGAATCTTGGAGTGGCACAAGGGACAATTCTCGAACCAATTGTTTCAAGCTCTATGTTAAGGATTTTCACTCGGTTTCAAAAGATGAAAATCAAGCAATTCAATTTGCAGATGATACCAACCTGACAGGGAGCCAAAAACCTTTAAGACTATTACAAGCACATCCTGAAAAAACGCTAGACGAAAAAACGCTTACATAAAAAAGAATTGTCTCTTTTTGATTTCCGATAAAACAAAACTTCTTCTATTTAACTTTGAAATACCCATTTTTTCACAAAAATCACGAAATTAAAAATTCAAAGT